GAAAGATTCATAATTGCTTTTATTTTCACTGGATTGGCTTCAATACCCCGTTGAGTGACGATATATCCCAAAAATTTTCCAGAACCGACTCCGAAAGTACATTTCTTTGGGTTAAGCACCATTGAATATTCTCTCAAGATGTTGAACATTTCCTGTAAGTGATCAATATGATCGGCCGCATGAACCGACTTGACTAACATGTCATCCACGTAAACTTCCATGGTATGTCCGATGAGTTTGGCAAACATTTTATTGACCAACCTTTGATATGTGGCCCCAGCGTTTTTAAGACCGAACGGCATCATAATATAACAATATAATCCTCGGGCTGAATAAAAAGATGTATGTTCTGCCTCTTCAGGGTCCATTGGAATTTGATTATAACCCGAATATGCGTCCATAAAACTCATCAATTCATGTCCAGCTGTGGCATCCACCATGTAATCGATATGTGGTAAAGGGTAACTGTCTTTAGGACAGGCTTTATTTAAGTCGGTAAAATCAATGCAAAGTCGCCATGCACCGGAACTCTTTTTCACTAGAACAGGATTTGACACCCAAGTCGGGTATTTCGTCTCTTGAATGAACTTGTTGTCAACCAATTTTTGAACTTCTTCTTCAAGAGCTTTCTGTCGATCAGGACCGAGTTTGCGTCGTTTTTGGACCACCGGTTTAATTGTTGGATCCAAATTAAGTCGATGAGAGGCGACTCTTGGATCAATTCCTTTCATATCCTCGTGTTTTCAAGCAAATACATCAGAATTGGCTTTGAGGAACTGAATGAGCCGAGTTCGTATTGGTTCTTGAAGATTGGCTCCAATTTGCACCGACTTGTGACAAACTGGATTATCGATAAATATTACCTCGACCTCTTCTGATGGTTCAGCTCGTTCAAGTTTGCTTTTTTCCTTAAATTGAATTCGAGGATCAAGTACATCTTCTTCTTTAATTGGTTCTTTTCCAGGACGTCTTCCTCGATCACAAATCAGATCGTTATTTGATTTTGCTGGATCAAGTTCCATCTCGGTATTATATGATTCCGAGTTAACGAGTGTTGAATTTTCCTGGCTTTCTTCAATATCCTCCATCATATGTACGGGCATACAAGGTTCATGCCAGGGTTTAACCCATACCATTCCGCGAGCTTCGTACTGGTCTCCATAATGAGTTCCTTCTCCATTATTAGTAGGAAATTTCAGAGCATAATGAAATATTGATACAACGGCACGAAGCTTGTATAAAGCAGTCCGTCCAATGATGGCATTATATTGATTTTTAAGATCCATCACCTTGAATGTCTCCATAATAACTTTGGAAGCTTGTCCAGGGATTCCGAACCGAATTGGCATAGTGATTTCGCCAAGGGTTGTCGTTATGGTTCCATTAAAGCCTTGTACTTGATCCTTACAGGGTTTTAGCTCGGCTGGATCGATTCCCATTTGTTCAAATGTACGTAACATCATGATACTTGAATATGCTCCGGTGTCTACTAACATACGATGTATCGGTATTCCACAGATGGGTGCCGTGATTATTAAGGGATCAGCATGAGGGTGAGCAAAATAACTTGCATCATCAACATTGAATGTGATCGGGCAATTGTTTCGAGCATTAATTTTATCTCGGAGGTCGGTAGTTAAAACTGTTTTTCCCGAGTTAAAAGCTTTTCGAGCATATGCTTTTATTTGCCTTCGTGATTCCAACGTTGCATTGCTGCTGTTGTTGACCCGAGGTACGTGGTGTGAGTTGTCAGGATTATAGTATCCCCCTCGATACATCGTTTCAGTCGATTCTCTTTCTCCTTGATTCGTCATGTATATTTCTTTCTCACTTGATCTCACCCGTTTTGGATTAATTGGACGTTCTTCATCGTCTTCATCGTCGGGCAAATCAGGCATTCTTCCTTTTCGTTTGTAATCAACATTCTTGGCAAACTTTTGGACTTGAGGATGTCCAATAAGTCGTAACAAGGCAGAAAGTAAACCGAGACATTCATCAGTATTATGACCTGCCGACTTATGGTATGAACAATATCTCGTTTTATCAAGTTTTTCTTCGGGTGTTCTGACAGGTCGAGGATCAGGAAGAATTCCTTTCCCTTTTAATTCTTCAAATATTGTTGCTGCTCCTGCCGAGAATACCGTCTGGTAGCTGGATTTAACTTCATTAAGATATTTAGTTCTGGCTTCTTGTACTTCGGGGATTTTTGGATTCCCAAATCGAGACTTATTTGGCTTGAAAAATTTATTTTTCTTCTTTTTTGATTCTTGCCCGACTTCCGACTTCAACGAGGAAAAGTCGATATTAGGAACCGACATTGATTCTTCAGCCAAAATATGCTGTTGAGCCCGAGCTAGAAAGTCTTGAAATGAAGTCGGTTTATTTTGACATATACTCCATCGGAACAACGAGTTTGGCTTCAATCCGGCTATGGCTGTGACCAATAGCGTTTCGGGATGGCATTGCTCCATATTTTGTATGCGTTCGTTGAACCGAGTAATGTAGTCTTTCACGCTTTCATCATCTTTTTGTACAATATTTGCGATTGACTCTTTAGGAATTAAAGATACTCGGGCCCCGATAAAATGAGAGCGAAAAGCTGTCCTCAACTGCTGCCACGTGGAGATTGAATACCGAGATAGAGAATGATACCATTTTTGAGCTCGTGGTCCCAGAGTTAAGGAAAACATCCGACATCTGAGTGCTTCATTCGCTCCATGAAGATCCATCCAAGATGTGTACTGACCAAGATGGGCATCAGGATCGGAAGTTCCATCATATAAGCCGATTTGCGGAACTTTCACTTTAATCGGGATAGGCTCTCTAGTTAAATGAGGGGCTAAAGGAGTTCCAACCTCTTGATATGTCTCTTCTATCATTGGAGTTCGTCGTGGTGGTCCTCCATGTTCATCTTGGCAAGTCTCCAGCTCAGCAATTCTTTTTCTCAATATTTCTAGCTCTTCTGATTCACGTCTTTGGCGATTCCTTTCAATTAAGCGACGTAACTCATTCTGCCCACGACGAGCATGGGTTTGTTCAAGAGTATGTCGTAAATCAGAAGGTTGATCATGTCGTGATAGTTCTGGTAACGACGGAGTAGGCCGTCGTGGTCGATGTCCAGAATGGCTTTCTGCAGTTGCTTCTGATCGCACTGGTTCTGGAACTCGAGTATGTACCGGAACTACCCCACGATTTTGAGTTGTTGCATCATGTTGTGATTCGTGTGTACGCGGATGGGAAGTTGCATGTGAGGTTGCAGGAATATTATTTCCTCGTGGAACTGGAGTTGAGCGAGTTTGAGGATTAGCCGCTGTGGTTGATTCTATTCTTGTTCGTGCCATAAAATCAGTTAAATTTTTCAAGAACTCTAGATCTTGAAATAGAGCTGAATAATCAATTGACGTAGATGGCACGGCAGAAGTTCCGGTTGTATGAGTTGGGTGACGATTAATTCCAGGGTCTGGATTACGTTCATTTCGTCCAGAATTTGACATCCTTTGCGTGTTATTTACAAGACAAACAATTGAAAAGGAAAGGCACGCCCGCCCTTCTTCTAGCGCCAAACTGTTGCTGTCTTGAATTAACAACTTCAAATTAAGTACAGTTGATGTCAAGAAAATGAGGATAAATTTTTATTTAAGTTTTTATTGATTTTGTTCACAAGAGTACAGAAGTCGGTTTTAAACTGAAAACCGAGTTTCGTCTTTAGTTCGTGTACAATGTGATCGAAAAAGAAAAGATCCTCGTACTATCATAAATTCTGCTATTTATAGTACGGTGGCTTTTGTCTTCTTCCTCGAAATGGATAGAGATGCATTTAATATTTTTGTTTGAGGCGGCGGGAAACATCAATGATTGCCTTTTTGTTTCGTTGGTCCAATCAGATGCTTCTAATGATTACTTTCTGTTTGGAATGCTCAAACTTTACGGTAGTCGGTTGACTTGATGTCGGTTTGTTTACATTGGTTTCAGATGTCTGTTTTGATCCTTTTGAAGGTCTGTCGGAAGTTGGATCTTTCGGAAATCGGCAATCCTTAAGAGGTCGGTAATTTGCTCTAATATATTCCGACTTTGTAGTACTTTAATTCTGATTACTAGATTTGATATCAACAAACCACTCAAAACAACAAATCGATAATAATCCACAAAGAAGAGCCCGATCACAATCAAGAATACAAGTCCAGAAATTCCACACTCAAAATTGCCTATGACTAGCCATAATTGAGACTCATGGTCCCGATTAAGCCTTCATTGCACGCGATCACATGTAATCAACACTCAATATTCGCAACCCACAAGCTACCCACCTCAAACACAAGAAGATTCAGCCACCCACCCCCAAACACAAGAAGAACCAGCCGCAACTCGACAAGGTCGACTCCAAAAATGAAACTGCAAAATACCGTACTGGTGGTTATACCGGTCTAGCCACTAGTACGCGGTAATATCGGTTGACCGGTAATATTGGTGGTACTACCGGACTAGCAAATACAATGATATATATAAATATACATAAAAATATATAATACCAAATGTAAAAAAGTAAAAAAATAAATGACAATAATCATTAATTTCAACTTCTCAAAGAGATAAAAATAAAACATTTTAAACCAATTTAAATTTTATGTTTTTAAATTAATAAAATTTATTTTTTGCACTTTTTTTTTATTGGCCTGTATTTTGGACCGGTATTTTCTGGTATTTACGGTATGATCATGATACGAATCGGTATAACCGTAAATCCGGTATTTTGTGTATAATTATACTGTACCAATGACCGGTATCCAGTATTACCAGTATTATCGGCCGATACAGTACGGTATTTAAATTATTGGCCATAACTATATACTAAGAAAAATGAAAAATTGGTCCCCCATTATTAGACGTATTACAAATTCATTCTCCAAAGTTGCAAAATTGGTCTCTAATTTATTGTGTTGCAATTTTAATCTTAAATTTGCGACTTCCTATGTGTTTTACTTCCTGTGGTGCATGTACTAGTTGGAGATCTCAATTTACAACATATTGTTGCTTTTTTGGTAAATTGTTCTATTTTACCACAATAGGTTTTTTTTCAAATTTTTTTAAGATAAGTCTCGAATTCGGGTCGGGCTGGGCCTGGCCCATACCTTGGTACAGGCCGGTTCAAGGTTGGTCCCGAGACCCGGAATTTGGACATGTCTAATTTGCAGTTCTAAAAATTTGACAGCTTCCCGGAATCGGGAATTTTCGCATTTTCTCTCAACAATATGCTCCTGAAGAAAAATCAACTCAGCTGTTTGCACTCAGTTGGTTTATAGTGATGGCCTATTCTTAAATTCTATGTACGCACAGCCATGCAATCTCAACCTACATCTGCCACGAACAGCAAAAATTTAAGTCGGGTCAGGTTTATTGCTCATATCTCTTCCAGTTTACGCCTCCCAACATCGCGCGTTTGGTTCGATTGCCGGAAAATCAGTAGCTGCCCTTGTCTTGCGATCGATCGTAGGGTAAATTGTGCTTCCATTTCGTAATCTTTTGTGTGATTGTTCCCAAATAATTTCGTTGTTTTTACATTATAGACAACTTTTTATTTGATTTGTTTTTTTTTTCTTTGTTGAGACAGTTGTTTGAATCACGGGTTCGTAGATATGGGTTTCGCTTTCGAGTGCGTGCGGTGGACGATGTAAGCCATTAATTCGATTTGTATATTAAAAAAAAAATTCCTTCGTTGGTTTCATTGGGAAAATGAGGCAGAATTTCTTCACATGTGGAGCTAATGTCTGTTAGCTGATTATATATCGATTTTACTGCAAAACAAATGGGTTTTGTTTTGTATCCAGGATTCATTCTCGTTCAATGACTGGGGGGACAACGGTAGAGTAGTTGAGTACATGTATTCATCAAGTGATGGAGAAGGCAGTGATGGAGAAATTATTCTGCAACCCATAACTGATGTTGATTTGCCGACCTCCAAAGAGCAATTTCTGCTGGACGATGACTCCACAACAGAGACCACACACCATATTGCAACACTTGGCAGAACACGGACGAAAAGAAAGTACATTTGTATCCTCAAATTGGCCTTAACTTTGCATCTTATTGTTGTGCAATTTATGCTTATATGGGCTTAGTTCACACGGGTCGTTTATCTTGTGTCCTGATATGTTAGAATTCCCATATCTTAATTGTCTCTAGTAGAAATGTAGAATTGAAGGGAAAAATGAATTCTAAGTCTAAACTAGCTCAGTATTTCCTTATTTATTTATTTATTTATTTTTTGTGCTTTCAGGACTCTCAATGGAATTCTAAACAATGTTGGATTGATGTCTTTCTCAACATTGCTTCTTTTACTAGTGGACCATTGTGCATGGAGGATTGTGCGGTTGCCCCTAGCACCTTTCTATTTGATGCGGCCTTTTCTAACATCCGTGATTTCAGTTTCTTGTTTCGGATTTATTTGTGGCCCTTTGTTCCATTTGTTGAAGATAAGGTCTATGGGTGGACTCTATTTTGTGCCTATCGGGCTACTAGTTGCACAATTTGTACTAACTTTCTCCTCCAGTGAAGTTTCTGGTGTGACAGCAGCAACTGTAGCATTCGCTGTAATTGGTTTAATGGATGATTACTTGGGAATCAAGAATAAGAATAACGGTCTGTGTGTTTGGGCAAGAGTTCTATTGGAGGTGGAGCTCATTTTCAATTTCAATAGATACACACATTTACTATATATCTACTCTGCTTATTGTAATACCTTGGGGTTTTTATTGTTGCTCTAACTCATAATTTTTCTAGTTGCTCAGGTAGCTGTTGGGACGTGTTTCTCCTACTGGTTGTACAGAACAGACGTGTCAACACCCTACAACATGTATATTTTCGAGAAACTAATTTGATCAACCTTTTTCTTTGAAGGGTGACTCACCCATATATTCTTGCTTGGACAATCAATTGGTTTACAATTCACTTAATGAATCATCTGCATGAAGTAACGGATAAAGCTTGTATGAATTGCTAATGATAAATTTGGTGCATGAGTTGGATATTGTTCCGAAGCTGCCCAGGTTATAGATTCTTGGAATTGAATCTTTTGACTTTTGTGTCGTGAGTTGACTATGGTGACCAGTGCTTGATTTCGGCCTCTTTAGTTGTTTTATTCTGAGGTCGGCCAAAGTATCTATCTAGTTATTAAATGTTTCCTAGAAAAACTTTGCTTATATCAATTAAACTAGCTTCTTATATTGTTTGTGCTAGGAAAATGGTGGTCCCCTTGCCTGCGCCTTTAGGCCTTGTTTGCCTTGGAAAATTCTACCCGATCTTGACTGCACTCTGTTTTGTTTCCATGACAAATGGTATGAATATAACCAATGGGATTGATGGACTGGCTGCAGGCATTGCTGCATTAGCATTTATCGGGATGTCCATTGTGGTTCTTCCAATATTCTCTGGTACTATAATTTTATTTATATTCAATTTCATGCGGCTTAGAGTGTGTTTGGTAAATGTCACAAGATATTTTTTAGCTTATTTGTTAGCTTATAAGCTTTAAGTTTGGTTTGGGAGGACGGACGTTTTTTAAAAAGTTCGAGCTTATCTCACAAGTTTATTTGAGTAACTTTTCAAATAAGCCCATTGAAATTTTTTATTTCACCTCGCTTATCAGCTAATTTGCCAAACACTTATATCATATTAGTCAACTTTTCTTTCTGTTATAAACTATCAACTATAAGTTCGAAATTCACTTCGGTTGTGTTTGGTAAACATATAAACTAACTTATAGCTTATTTGATTGGCTTATAAGCTTTTTGTATTCAAATAAGCTTGGTTTGGTATGACAATATTTTTTAAAAAAACTCGAGCTCATCTCATAAGCTTCCTTGAGTAGCTTTTCAAATAAACCCATTGGAATTTTTATTTCAGCTGCCTTATCAGCTAATTTACCAAACACTTTTATATTTATATATCAGCTAGTTTTTCAGTCATAAGCTATGAGCTATAAGCTCGAAATTTACTTATAAGCTATCAGGTAGCTTATCATCAAGGTTTACCAAACATAGCCTTAATCTTTCAAATAGTAATTCGTGACTTTTACATTCTACATTTCTGCAACCAACACTAGACCTTTCTATATTTGGAGCATCAATGGCTGGGGCATGTGTCGGTTTTCTTTCCCAAAACCGATACAAGGCATCTATATTTATGGGGGATACGGGATCTTTGGCTTTAGGTGGGGCACTTGCTGCCATGGCTTCTTGCACGGGAATGTTTTTGCCGTTGTTCATTTTGTCAGGAATAATTGTCTTGGAAGCATTATCGGTTATCATGCAGGTATGAAATGATTGATTGCACAAGTCTATTTATCTATATATTAACTTCATTTTTTTTTTTTGTTTATTTGTGACCCTTGTCATATTCAAAATCAAACCCGTATTTTTTTAGGCATTATTCTTCAAGGCATCCAAATACTTTGGGTTAAGGGGCTACAGGCTGTCCCGAGCGGCACCCTTACATCAGCATCTCGAGTCATATGGAATTAAAGAACCTACAATTGTTGGCGGTTCATATTTTATTGCAAGCATGTTGAGTTTATGTGGTGCATACGTAGGTCTTAGTTCAGTTTAACGACCTGCAAGCTATTTTTTAAAGGATAAAGATAGACGTTCTTTGTTCTCGTTTGAGATGTCGATTTTCTTTTATTTCTTTGTTTTTATATTTCTTTTTTCTCGAAGAGTTACGATTTCGGTTCACATTAGGTAAGAATGAAGTATTCTTGTATAGTGAGGCAACCGATTTTGGTCAATATTAGGTTTGGGACTATTGGAGAGTCTACTTTGGTTGATCATAATTCTTCTTTCTTCTTCTTCTGAATGTTGCTATAAGAGATTCATATCCTTGATTTGGAGCATGCATGGAAAACCAAGAATCCAATGTCTGTAATATTGAAGTTAAAGGGAAAATGGGAACAAAAGTTTATCTTGAAGAAAAATTTAAGAATGGTTGCACAAATATATAAGAATACAGGTTCACACAGAATAAGAATTGAAAAGGGCAAAATTCAAAAACATAGGTCCATGCAATAAAACAGCTGATATCCTTCAGCCACAGTTCAAAATTTTCTCCTACAGAAACTGAATTCCAGATGTACTGTTCAATTAATCAGATATTATTTATCAGATATATTCTCCATATTTACATTCATATGATCCTTCTTGAGTTAACTTTAATATTTTGCAATGTTAACAGACATCTCATAATCGAGCCTTAACTAGCAAAAGTTTATCAATATTAATGAGCCGAGCTCGAGCCTTAACGAGCCAAAAATCAATTTGAACTATAGAAAGATACCATAAAAATCATCTTTTCGAGTTTTATCTAGTCGAGAGCTCGGCTCGTTAACTGAACTAGGATCGTTTATCAAACGAGCCGAGCTCAGAGCGGCTCGCTTAATTTAACAATCAAGAAATATGCATCAGAAAAAAAAATACAATTAAAGAATTAAAAAACCCTTTGAAGGCTCAACGACCGGCCTGTACCATAGCCCGTAATGCAACAGGCCCAACTAGCAACACTTGCTGAATGCCAGGCCCATTATTGTTCGTAGGGCTGTCTTGTTTCCACCCTCCGAGTCCAGATAACAAAAACAAGCACGTAGACTACCCTCCCCAACAGCAAGCGAGAGAGAGAGAGAGAGAGAGAGAGAGTTCGCATTGTCGGAAATGGTGGCTTACAGGGTATGTCGTGGCGACGTTTTTCTGTATCGATCGCTACCCTTATCTGTAAATTGATTGTGCCTAAATGATCTTTTTCACTGCTGCGTTGTGATGCATTGTGGTTTGTACCTTGTGCAGTTCCATCAGTACCAAGTGGTGGGGAGAGCCCTGCCGACGGAGACGGAGGAGCACCCGAAGATCTACCGGATGAAGCTCTGGGCCACCAACGAAGTCCGCGCAAAATCTAAGTTTTGGTATGATCTAATCGCTCACAACTCATATGCTTGTGTTTTCCTGCCCGCTTCATGTCCTCTTCAGCGTCTTTTTGCTCTGTGTGGAGATTATTAAGTTCAGTTTTCTGTTGCAGAGTAAACATTACAAGATCGATCTATTTTGTGCAGGATTTGCTCAATTTCTTATTTGATGTAAAATGGGAATAGTATATAGTGAAACTCGATGTTTTACATGCTTGAATTCCTTTGAAATGGCTATGTAGCGATGGAGTGAAGAAATGGATAAGTTTAGATGATTGCTTGATGTGTGGGCATGTTGCTGGATTTTACCTTACATTCTTGTCATCAATAAATCAAAATCACATTTCATCAGAATTTAAATTAGAAACAGTGCATTTTCTTGGGTTTGGGAGTATGATCTTTTCTTAATTTGGAAAGTGGAAGTAAGATGTGTGTTTAAATTCTTTTATTGTGGGACTCATTTGATAATTCTCAATTTAGGTACTTTTTGAGGAAGCTTAAGAAGGTGAAAAAGAGCAATGGTCAGGTCCTTGCTATCAATGAGGTATGATCTCTTTCAAATTCTTTGATCATGTTATGAGTTTTAAGCTTCCAGATCAATGCATGATACCATAAGATTGCTTATTCTATTGTATTGCTCTTTATTTGGTGTTAATGAACAACATTTATAAGCGTACATGTGCTTGGAGTTATGTTGCTCTATGTTCTGTGATCAATGAAATGTTTGTCTTACATTGCGGTCTATACATTTCTTCTTGTCATTTTCTTTTGTGCATGCCATCCCATTATCTTGTGAATGAAAATGAATTAATTAGTTTTACTTGAAAGTGAACTGTGAACCATTTTTTTGCACTTCTATTATGGCTGTACTCCTCTCAACTAAGTTCCTTTTGTTGTTGGTATACTTTGCTGTTCTGCATTTTTTTTTTTTTTCACCTGCTAATTTGGATGCCTTCATTTGTATTCATCGATCTTCTACTATGGGATCTTGAAATTCATATACTTTTTATATAATACAATTTTGATTTCCTTCTTGGTTTTCTTTTAAGTTTTCAAATATACTCATTTTTGGTTCCCACATTGATTTTCTCATTTCTAATACTCATAACACTTTCTTTGTTCTCCATCTGTTTTTTGCTCGGTAGATCTTTGAGAAAAACCCGACCACCATAAAGAACTACGGGATTTGGCTAAGGTACCAGAGCCGAACGGGCTACCACAACATGTACAAGGAGTACCGTGACACCACTTTAAACGGTGCTATCGAGCAAATGTATACTGAGATGGCTTCCCGTCATAGGGTCCGTTCCCACTGCATTCAGATCATCAAGACTGCCACAATCCCGGCTAAGCTCTGCAAGAGGGAGAGCACTAAGCAGTTTCATGACTCGAAGATCAAGTTCCCATTGGTGTTCAAGAAGGTGAGGCCACCCACAAGAAAACTCAAAACCACATACAAGGCATCGAAGCCCAACTTGTTCATGTAACTTAAGAGTTAGTTGCATTATTTAATGGTGGATAATTTATGCGTTTTTGTGTTTGCTGAGAGAGAGAAAGGCATTAAAGAATCGAGCTTCTGGATAAAATTTCAGTCTTTCTTGATTGAATTGTGTTTGGTTTTTGTTTTTGAAGTTTTCCATCATGAATTTAGGAGTCGGTTGTAGGTTGTTCGATTGTGCTAAGTCTGCAATTTAAATCAGGAACTCGACCACTCATTTAAGTGTTATGGCTGAGCTATTAAACAAATTGACCTACTCAACTCGTCTTATTTGATAAAAAAAAAAAACAGTTAAGCAAATCAAGCTACTTGTGGGTTCAGTTCAATTCGGCTTATTTGATAAAAATGAGCAGAGTTTGACCTTGTTTAGTTGATGAGTCGAGCTCAACTCGGTTCTTCAAATCTTGAGAAACAACATTTTAACGTAATTTATTGCATTAAATTATTAAGTTTCAAGTTTGATTCGTTAATTTTGATAAATGCTTTAGCTCGTAATCAAAAGATTGATACAACGATCAAACTTCAACACCATACTCGCCTCAATAGAGCTTTTATCGAGACGAGTATTGAGCCAATAAAAGAGTTCATGTTCGGCCCGTTTACCTTTGACGTGCTGCAAACGAATTGAACGTTCGTGAACGAAAGCTCGTTCGTGTTCGTTTTTGGCTCGTTTGTTTAATAATCGAACCGAGCTCAACATGTAATTCGACTCGTTTATTGTTCGAACGAACACGAACACGTTCGCAACATAAACGAGTATTTATGAACAACAAAATTTAAGCATTTCTTAAGTTTGATAATCGAATTATTCGAACAATTCGAGCTAATCGAATGTTTAAAAAATTCAAATATTTTCGATTAGTTAAACGAGTCGTATACGAATTTAACGAACAACTAAACGAACGAAAAACGAACATAAATTTAGGCTCGACTAGTAACGAACGAACTCGAACAAACTCAAATATTAGTCGAACTCGAGCTCGAACAGCCACTCGATCCGGTTCGGTTCATTTGCAGCACTTCTGTCCAAGCCAAGGTGACTAGGTGGTAGTGTGGTACCGCTATTTACGAAACTTAGTGGGGGAGAAAACGAATTCTGCAAAGTGCAAACCACTGAAATCTTTGCGTAGACCAGTCCTCGGAGATATTAATATTTACAAAACAAACCCCAATATTATTCTACTCCCGGCCCTCTAGCACAAACAGGGAGACCAGCCATGGCGGAAGAACAGTCGAAGGACGCGAAGAAGCGAACGGTGGATTCGTTAGGATGGCTGACGGAATCCTCCATCATGCCCCGCAAGCAACGCGCCATTGAAGGCGTCGGAGCTTCTTCCATCCTCGAGCTCAAAGCCCAGCTCTACAGGTCCCAGGAGGAGTCCAAGCGCAACCCAAAGGAGCACGTACACGCCGCCGATCACAACTACGCTCATCATCTAGAGGTCCAGCGCGCCAAGAAGAAGATCGCCGCACACGATTCCTTCTCCACCAAGAACTCCGGCGTCGATTCCCGTGCCGCCAAGTACGTCAATTTTCATTATTGTTTATGTCCGTTGAAGTTATTATTGATTTAGGTTAACCGTTTGTGTTGGAGACTTGGAGTGTTGGTGATAATGACCGTGATAAGAAAAAATCGTGCCATTTTTTGGGTACATTGTTGTTGTCAATAGGGTTCTAGGGTTTCACCAATTGGGGATTTCTAATCTACAATAATTGAGTGGACTTCGTCCGCCTTCTGAGAACTTTGGGTTAATTCTGAATGAAGGGCTCTCAGTTGACTGCCATGTCTAGCAATAAAATCTTGTTTTTTGCTATTTGCTTGATCAAAAATTCTGTTCTTGAAAGTGTTGCTTAAATTACCTGAAGAACTTAAAAAAAGGCTTTCTACAATTACTTCTTGAACGTTTTAAGGTCTCGGGTATGAGAATGAAATATATTTTAAATTGCAGAAAATGTATGTAAAGGGGCATACCTTCCCCTTGATTGTGTTATGTAAAGATCATACAGATTGCCAAAACATTTGCCTCTTGGTTGAGTTTTTCAATTGAAACCTTTATCGGCTTTTTCAGGGACAAGCTTGAGCTAAAAGCTGTTCAGGATGGATCAGCAAGCTATGCAGCATTGGAGAGAAAAGCAGAATTATATAATAAACTGGTGAGAGGAGAATTGTCTGATGAAGAAGATCAGGAGAAGTACTGTGTTGACTTTTTCAGGAAGGGTCTAGAGCAGAACGAGTCTCACGTGCCTCAAGAAACTGATCCCTTTACACCACAATCTCAAGACGTAGTTGGGGAAAATGATTTGTTGGTAAACAGTACAAAAGCTGCTGCAGGTCTTGGACGAGCATCGGCCACGGTGGACAGAAGTCAACATAAGCATTTTGTAATGTAAACTCTCTGTCACCTCTGGCTGGCATTCTATGCTTTATCTGTTGCATATTTCCCTCCGTTTTCTCCTAAAAGATTTGATTGTTTGGTGCTAAAGCTTTAGGATAGTGTACTTCTATGGTTTTTAGTCGGGTACCATTTTTTTGTTCTGCAGTGGATTCTTTTCATGATATTACGATAACATGTTCATGCTTTATTATGATTTTGCACCATTTCTGACTGTCGGATTTCTAATTTTTCTATACATGTATTTGTTTCGTATAATTGAAAGGTAGAGTGTCAGTAAGAAGCATAGTTCATGTATGGCTTCCTTTCTCAGGCAGGTTCATGAAGAAGCAAATCAAGCTAGGGAAAAAGTGTCCGAGCTCAAAATGCGCAGACAAGAGCAAGCTGCTGCTCGGAGGGAAAAATTGAAGCAGGCCTACCTCCAAAAGCAACTTGAGAAGTTGAAGGCAACTAAAGCTGAGCAGACCTGAGTTGCAGGTGATTATTTGCAATTTGATTCCATTGTAGTAATTAGGAGATTCATTTACATTAGTTGTACTAGGGTCATCATTAAGGTTTTCATGATCTCTTCTCTGTTGTTGTGTGTATGCTTCACATTTTCAGCTTTATGGTAGCTTGTGCACATTATCGTTCAATCGTGTACCACCTTAAAGTTGCATTAGTTTAGCATATGGTCATGCTTATTTATAACAGGTGCAAATGCTTTCATGGTCATGTGATGGTGTTATAGTTTAAATCTCTCCTGCTGTTGTAGTTTTAAGTTCCATTTACCCCATTTTTGCGTCCTGATTATTTTTTCTCATTTTCCTAAACGATGATGCTTCTATCGGCTGATTTGAAACAGTGCAAATTGCGTGTCTTGATTTCCTTCTGTTCGGGTCAGACTTAATTGTTTTTAGCAATTAAGAAATCTACAGTTTGATTTTTACACTTCTTTTGTCAACAACTCAAATTCACGGACTGTTGCATTCGTAACCATGTGTCTTTTTTTCTTTATCTTCAGGCGCTCATTGAGTGTAAAGTTATGTAAAATCAGGTTAAGAAGCTTTGGCAAATTAATTTACTGAGTCTGCAAGTCGGCCGAGTCGGACTACTGAGTCTCCACTCTCCAGGGCCGGATTAGGACCAAAAAGTTGTGCTTTGACTGCTACGAGGATTTTAATTTTTAAGCCTTTTTTTGTTAGGGTAGGATATTTGTATCTCCAAAACAATTTTTTTGTAGGGCATTGCTCAGCAGCCGAAGAAAAATTTCGAACTTTATATTGTCTCTTTTTTTTTTTCCCCTGTAACCAAAATTTGGTTGGTTGTGCATATTGTAAACAATGCATACTATTTATAGTTTGGAAATAGATAAAATGAAGTACTGCTTTCATAAAAACCCTATTTTTTGACTTATTCTTGATTCTGTCAATTGTGACTTGTGAGGAAAAGAAACCAAAAACAAATTAAGGTGTGTGCGAAATAAAAAAAGTAAAAAAAAACAAAATACACGCTTTACCGACTCCGTGGCCCAATGGATAAGGCGCTGGTCTACGGAACCAGATATTCTGGGTTCGATCTTTTTGAGGTTAAGATATATTTGTTTAAAAACTGGCGGAGTTCCACAGAATCATTGTTTATCAATCCAATTAAAAAAAACTAATCAAAATTCAAATTTAACTCAACTTTAACCCAACTCCACTATCTCCATGATTACTAATATAATTAAATAATACCAATCAATTATTCTTACACATCACATCAACTTTAATTCACTATTCATACACTCACATAATTTTAACTAACCACTGCTTCCAATCATTTTTCTCTTACTTTTACATCATATCAACTTTAATTATTTTATTTTAAATATTATTTTAATATATCCACTAACAACTAACCATACTAACTTTTTTTAAAAGTAACTATAGTTAAAAAAAACCAATTAATTTCTAGATCAATTGATAAACAATCACCCCCACAGTAATCTTCTTGCTTCCGTAATCTATTGTGATGTTGCACTTTTATTTTAAATTTTGATCGATTAATGCATGGAATATGTTATTAATGTGGTTCAAGTTGTAATTATATTATCTTTCTTTATTTTTTTTAATATATTTTTGATAGGTGGCCAATGAAAATCGAAGAAATGTCCTCGTGGACTCATTTTAATATTTCATAATACTTGAGGAGGACATCGATTATTTTACTGAGCGGTCCATGTGAACTGATAGGTCGACCAGAGACCGGACAACAAGAAGACTTAAGGCCGGACAACAAGGCCAGTGATGACCTCTGAGGTAGAGCAATTCAGCAACATGTCGAGGTAGGGCTCTCGATTATCCTGATAGAAACTCGACCTAGAAGTGAAGTGCATACTTGGATACAATAAATCTAGATATAACCCAAATATTTTTAACACAATCATTTTTTGTACTCAACTTTAACTCAATCTCACTATTCTCAATATTATCAATATAATTAAATAATATCAATCAATCATTCATGTACATCACGTCAACTTTAGTTCACTATTTATCAACACATAATTTTAGCTAATCATCACTCACGTCATCTCTCTCATAATTTTACAGCAAATCAATTTCAATTGTTTTATTTTGAATATTGTTTTAATATAAATTTAAAAATCCACTAACAACTAATCGTACTCCATTTTCAAAATTAAGCATGGTTAACCAAAAAATCCAAACAAAACAAATAAATCTAATATCCAAAGCATCCCCAAAGAGGTCGACGTATGACCTAAAAAGGGGACTTACTTTGGAAACCAGAACGAACCAGTTCAACAGAAATCGAGCTGATAGCACAATTACGCTTAAAACATATACCTAACGAGGTAGGTTAATGTGAACACTTCAGATAATAGATAAGCACGGATATAATTGAGACAATAAGGACTCGTGAGTAAGGGCACGTGTGTAACAGAATAAAGCAGTCTAAGCACTCGAACATATAATTGGATAGTTCAGGCATTTGGGCACCAAGGTTGGTCAGATCTTGGACAATAAGGTAACACCTCTAAAGGGGTGAGGTATTATCATCATCTCTCTACACATTATGAACATTCTAGACTCATATACATACAATTAATCTTCTTCCCTATTTAGTATTTACTGACTCGAGTGTCGGAACTTCCACGTCGGGACAACTCCGACTCTATTTTACAGGTCATTTCACCAGTTTAAAGACAAATTGAAAGACATTGGACCGAGTCGAGATCGTTTTGCATTACCACTACAACTTGAGATCCTGGGCCTAAGACCCCATTCTCTAGGGTAATTAGATCCGCCCATACTAGTAGTATGCAAGGTACAACAATCATGTATTAAACAAGTGACAATTAAAAGTATCATATGTATATTTTTTAAATAATAGTTTTATTTCAATATCTTAAATACTTCTTACAACTTGCATTGCTCTTTTATTTAATTTGTATTTGTAATAATATATATTTTTTTTATATATTCTATTTGTATGTTAAATCGAAAATTATCAAAAGACGACTATTTTAGTATATTGTGTTTAAAAAACAAACAATAGATAAAAAAAAATTCATAAATATTTAAATATTTTAAATTGATCAAGTATTCAATAATTTTATAAGTCCTAATAAGCATGAGTAAAAGCCCAAGTATGCAATCACTTAATAAGTTTTAATCGACATTGGTAAAAATCCAAGTCTACTGGATTACTTTGAAGCACCGTTATGTGACTCATGGGACTGAAGCATTAGAAAACAACATGATTACAAATCACCGTAAATGTACACAAGGCTTGAAAAATTCTGTAATTATATATTGGAAGCAATTTATTTTTCATCCTATAATGTTTGACGTGCTGAAAGAGTAAAACACGGACTATGAAATCCAAGAAAAAAAAACAAATGAAGAACGAGAGCAAGCTAAATGCCGATTATATTATAAACTATAAATTGAATGATAAATAATTTTTCCAGCTTAAATAAAAATTTTATAGAAAGCAAAAAAAGAGATGAAAAGTACGATTTTTATAAAATTATGTAAATTCATTATTTTTTAAGAGCTATACTGCAGTGTGTGGACAGAAGGAAATTGACTGCGATATTGCGAATTTCAGAGAGTCCCACATCGAAAGCATGTATAAGCAAGTCAATGATTGGGGTTATAAATTGAGATTGGACGCCTTACAATAAACTTATCTTTGCGCTTGGGGCAATGACGCAGCTAGTGAGGTTCTAACCGAGGCGCGTCTATTGCTGGTTGAAAACTATTTCCAAACCCCCTCTTGGGCCTGGGCTTGACCTTGGCCCTCGAGAATTTCTGGAAGGGCTCCCTTTAACTAGGGTATAAAGCCCTACAATTTTAGTTCAAAATTTCGAAACCTTTCTTTATTATTGTGTTTTCCTGTTCCAACATGAATTTTAATTTTAACAAAAAAAAAAAAAAAAAT